GTAATGTATGTCTAATAGGTGTTATAAATTACTGTAAACCTTAATACTAAGTAATAAGAATGTTTTTTGTCAACAATGAAAATTTTTTATTATGAAGGTATCCACAACTGTTTTAATTATAATTTTGTATGGTGTCATCCTTCCTTCTTCAATGAACCATTGTATAAGACGAACGTATTTTTACTGCAATATACAAATGTTCCTAGCTGGCGGAACACAATATGAGCTCATGTGCTTATGGAGCAGTTTCAACAGCGGGTTCTTCTCCCCACAAAGACCATGGAAGTCGTCCAAATCAATGGCCCATGTCATGGCGCCCAGGTAGCCCTTTTCCTTAATCCAGTTCATCTTGATTTCCACACTGCGAGGGTCCTCGTACCCAACCCATTCGGTGTCTTCTTTGTAAGCGTACGGGCATTTGCCGTACTTGTCCCATTTCTTGATACAACCGAACTCCGGATTGTCCACCTTCATGCAGATCTGTCGAAACATAATAATGCAGACATTTCCATATGTAAAGCTGCGTTTCTACTTAAGCTCATAACAGATCTGAACGGGCAAACATATCCTCTCTCGGTAAATGAAAATATCAGAGATTCGTACAATGATGTTTGACTGATCTTAGGAAACGAATGTTAATATGACTGAGTAAGAGAGTTACTCAGTCATAATTGGAAACAAGGTAACATTATTCTGAGCATTCCATTTACCGAGCGAACAAATGTTTGCTCACTCGGAAATTATGAACATTAGGTGGAAACGCAACTTAAGATTTTCAGGATTCAATTAATTCGTTAATTATCATTTATATCCATGACTAGCTGCTTTAAAATACATAACAAAGGAGATGGTTCAGTTACGGAAAAGTGGTAGTCGGTTTCCGGCAGCGACGAAACATATATATAATATAAAAGATTGTTTTATATTATAAATGATATCGTGGTGAACTTATTATACAAATTTATGATTGATTCTTCTTGAAATAAAATACCTATAAGATACCTAATTATCGGTTCAGTGGTTAAAGCATGTTGAGGAAACAGACAGAGATACTTAAAAAATTCTTACAGGACAGATTATTTTTCTTACCTCGTAATAAGCCATGAATCCAGTCTCATTGGTATAAGGACCGGGGTTACCGCCACCGGCCGTCTTGTTGATGGGAGTCCCGAGTTCGTAGTTATGGTTACCGGCACACAGGGTGAAAGTGCGCCCGTAGAAAGGTATGCCGACGACTAGCTTGTTGGTAGGGCAGCCTTTGTCTTCCCATAACTTGAGACCGTCGTTCTGAAACAAGATAATTGATTGCAATATTCTAAGTTTCCCCTGACATTGGTCACTTCGCTTACGCACACAATACGCACTCCTAGATCTGTACCCTTAGCACGAACCAATATCGAATTCGAATAGTTTGCAAACGGAAATGTCAATGCCAAATTTTGTATGGAAACTTGAACAGCAGCGGCACAAAGTACGTAACGAGAACTAAAAATCAGTATACATTTGACAATGACATTTCGGACTCGCAAACGATACGAATTCGATATTGGTTCGTGCTTGGGGTACCGTGCCCCTAATTATAACAAAATTACAATTGAACTTTAATCCGGTATTCGGCCACAGACGTTACGTTGTTCTCACCATTAAATGTACCTAATCAGGTCATAAATTCTGTCACATGTTTAATATAAAATAATTGAAACAAGTTTATTCATTATGTAACCATTTATATACCAAAATGAACTTTACAAAACATAGATTCTTATGACAATAAAGTTTATTCAAAATGACCTCCGTGATTGTGAATACAGGCCTGCAATCTGCGCGGCCAGTCGTCTATCGCAGCACGAACGAGGTCCATGCCAATATCGGCGGCTGCCCTAATCAAGGATGTCTTGAGTGACTCCAAATTGCGATGAAGCTTTGAGCACGCCTTTTCCTCCAAGTGTTGCCATATCTTGTAATCTAACGGACTCAAATCTGGACTGGAGGATGGTCAGTCTTCGTGCCTGATGAAGTCGATTTCACGCGCCGAAAGCCAGTCTAGTGTGCTCTTCGCTCAATGAGCTGGCGCCGAATCTTGTTGGAATCCCCAGTGCCTGTTATTGAACATGGTATGAGAAACAGCTTCCACAAGGTTCGTCAGGACTGTATTTTGATACACAACTGCATTCGTTTTTACACCTTTCTCACAAAAATGTACCTCTGCTAAGCCCCAATAAGAAACTCACAACCATACCATGAGCGAGGATGGAAAATGGCCTCGTTGGACACGCGGAATACGGTTGCTCGCTTCTTTACTACTGTGTGCGTACACCTTATCATTTTGTTTGTTGTAGCTCTCTTCTACGGTAAAATTTTTTTCATCCGAAAAAAAAAAATCCGATATTTTTTTCCCCCGTACCGCTTCAACGCGCGGCATCTCTTCAGTCTCAGGTCCATTAGACGAGCATTCAAACGATGTCCTGTTTTTCTTCGATATGCCTGAAGCCCTGAGTTATCATTTAACACCCTTTTCACCTTGGTTCTGCTTAACCCCATCTGAAGGGCCAACAGTTTCGGCTTACGTTTGGGATTTCTTTGAATTCACAGCTTTTATCACTGCTGGAGTCCTAACAGACCGAGGGCGACCACTTCTTGACCTGTCATCTACACTAGAGTCTTCATTGTATCGTTTGATGGTACGATATATGAATCTTTTGTGTGGTATTAAATAAAGAGTCAAATTAAATAACCAAACAAGAGGGTTTTATTTCTAGAAGTCCTAATATTAATACCTGTCACAATCATAGAGTATCCTAGCAAAATGTCTAATGGAAACATTCACAATAGTCATAACTTTAATAGGATGCATTCATGCCACATCTCCCTTTTATAATAATTTAAATACTATATGAATGATTAGGTAATTCAGAGCTCAGTATTATTAATCACAGACATAATTGTTGAGATAAGGAGGAGGACGGGTTTCCCTATTAGACCGTCTAATTAAGGGTTGAGATTGAGAGTTACACTGTTGAAGGTTTTGATCGCTGTCATTAATATTGATCTGACAGGAACTACTCCAATAATTCTGAACACAATCATTATTACTTGGATAGCTAGAATCTACTTCTTTTTCCATGCTTGTTTTAATAAATTTAGTATTTCTAGTTTTTAGGACTCCATTATTATCAATTATTTGTACAGAACGAGGGTTGTTCAAAACCTTTACAATTTTGGCAGATTTCCAGATTTTAGACCTTTCATCCTCCTTATAATAGACTTTTTGACCTGCAACAAATTTATCACTTCTAGTTTTAGAGTTAACATCATAATAGTACTTATGTCTCTATGCATTATTTAACAATTCTGGTTTGAAATTAAGAACCAATACTGACTTGAGTAAATCTTTTTGTATTGGTAGTCTTGTGCGGCAAAGTCTATTAAAAAGTAACTATGACGGAGAAAATTTTGTTCCACAAACTGGAGTATTCCTATATTCCAATATGAAGTTTGACAAGTCAGAATTAGTTTCATTACATTTCTTAATTAAGTTTTTACATATTCCAACAGCTTTCTCTGCAGCCCCATTGCTTTGGTGATAATGAGGACTGGAGAATATTGGTTTGAAATGCCATTGTCTGCTAAATTCTAGAAAAGTTGATGAGTTAAAGGGCATATTATCACAATATAAGATCTTAAGAATTCCATGTGTTGAAAATATGATCTTTAAAATCTTTATTGTTGAATCTGCAGTTTTGCTGTTTAACTTATGGAGCTCCAACCATTTCGAATAATGGTCTACTAGAACTAAATAGTCATGATTTCCATATTGCATAATGTCAACAGAAACTTGTTGAAATGGCAGTTCAGGTTGGTCCCTAATCCACATAGGTTCTTTAATATTGTTATTAGAAAATTTCTTACATACCATGCAACTTTCTATATAATTACTAATGTCAACATCCATCCCAACCCAATAAAACAATAATTTAGCTCTAGCTCTAGTCTTGGTGATCCCAAAATGAAATTCATGAACTTTTTTTAGTATAATTTGTCTTATAGATCTAGGTACATAGAGCCTGTTATCAATATATAATATATTATTTTCAATATACATGACATTCTTAAAGTTATAATAATGTTTAACTAGATCTGGTACTTTTGTGATGGATGTTGGCCACCCATTTTTTACATATTCAAGAAGTTTAGTAAATACATCATCTTTAAAGTTATCTATTCTAATTTGGGAGAGTATGCTGTCAGACACATTAATTGAATGTATTACATTATTTAAGTCTGGCTCAACATCTATACTAGCTCCAGAAGAAGCACGGCTTAACGCATCAGCAATGTACATATTTTTTCCAGATACATGAACTAAATTTAAGTCATACATACTGAGTTTCAGTTTAATTGTTTGTAATCTTGTTGAGGGAATGTTAGCTATATCTTTTTTCATGATAGATATTAAAGGAAGGTGATCAGTCTGTACTATAATAGTCTTACCATACACAAAAGTGTGAAATTTTTTACATGCAAACAATATTGCCAAGAATTCCTTCTCGATTTGTCCATAGTTAATTTCAGCTGAAGAGAGTGATTTAGAAGCATAATATACTGGCTTATTTTCCTGTAACAATACACATCCAATGCCTGTTTTACTAGCATCTGTCTGAATAATTATGTTTTTATTTGGATCAAACATGTGTAGTACAGGATGAGTAGTCAGAATTAATTTAATTGTATTAAAACATTCTGTATGGGCCTTTTGCCAATCAAAGTGAATATCTTTTTTTATTTATTCACGTAGGGGAGCAGTTAATTCAGATAAGTTTGGAATAAAAGATCTCAGATAATTCACTAAGCCCAAAAGTCTTTGAATATCTTGTTTATTTTTAGGTGTATCATAATCTAAAATTGCCTTAATACTATCTGGGTCAGGGCTTACAGTTCCATTTTCAAAAATGTGACCTAAATATTTCACTTTCCGAAGCATGTACTGAAACTTAGTTTCATTAAAATTTTCTAGCTTGTGAAAAAACTTTATCTAAAATCAAATTCATTTCCTCCTCAGTACTTGCAAAGATAAGTGTATCGTCTATGTAATTTATAACCCCTTCAATATCGGAAAAAAATTCAGATAAATATTTTTGAAATACTTCAGATGCTACGGCTATACCAAAAGGTAATCTATTAAATTTGTATGTGCCAAATATACTAGAAAATGTGCAATATTTAGAACTGTTTTCTGTTAGTACTATGTGAAAAAATGAATCTTTTAGGTCTAATACCGAAAAATATTTAGCTTTCTGAATTTTAACTGACAATTCCGAAACAGTTGGGATTGAACAATAATCCTTTACTATACATTTATTTAAATCTTTAGGGTCTAAGCATAAATGAATAGTACCATTTGGTTTTTCAACTATTACTAGCCTATTTACCCAATCTGAGGGTTCATCAACTTTTGAAATTATACAATACAATACAATACAATACAAAACACTTTATTGAACACCACAGAAAAACATTACAATAAATACAGAGCCATTTAAATTAAGTGTTACAATGGGCGGCCTTATCGCTAAAAGCGATCTCTTCCAGACAACCTTTGGATGGAGAGGATTAGAAGGAAGTGGGAGAGACGGCGGCGTAAATTTTAATGTAATTTATTAATATATACATAAATATACACATACATTCTATATTTATAAATATATATACATATATATATATAAACGTATAAACATATACATACAAATACATACATAAATCTAGTCCAGTCGGTAGAAATTACAAAAGAGATTATAAAATAAAAAATATTACAAAGACAAATAGTGAGACTTCACGAGATTCTTGAAAATGTGAATCGATTCCGCACTTCGTATCGAAACTGGGAGAGAATTCCACAGCTGAACGGCTCTAACTGTAAATGAGTGACTGTAAAAAGTTTTACTGTGTACAGGAGTCATGAGGGTAAGATTCTCTGATGACCTAAGAGATAACGTGTTAGAAGTGTGAAGGAAATTAAAACATTCCTTAAGATAGCGCGGGGACTTAGGATTGAACAATATGTTGTAGAGAAGAGTAAGAATATGAGTATTCCGGCGAAGGCGAATAGGTAGCCACTTGAGCTGCAAACGAAATTGAGAAACGTGATCATATTTGCGCAAACCAAATATGAAGCGAATACAAAAGTTTTGAAGTCGCTCAAGCTTATTAAGCTGTTCTTCCGTGAGATCAAGATAACAGACGTCAGCGTAATTAAGAATAGGAAGCAGTAATGACTGCGCTAAGGTATTTTTGGTGGTGACGGGCAGGAAATTACGTAGTCTCCTAAGTGACGCTGCCGAAGCAAATAGTTTGCGACTGACCACTTGCATTTGTGGGTCCCAACTCAAATAAGTGTCGAACGTCAACCCTAAGTTTTTAACCGATGTGTTAAATGAAATATTATTACCAGCCAGTTCGATGCTGGGTAGTAACTTCCAATCGATTCTGTCTATCATCCTAGAACTACCTATAATTATGCTGGTTGTCTTAGTGGGATTCAAGTCCAAACCAAAAGATTTACTCCACTCTGTAATTACATGGAGATCACTATTAGTGGCTCTCACCGCGTCCTCAAGTTGACCAAGAGGTGCTTGGCGATAAATTTGAAGGTCATCTGCATATAGGTGGTAGGAAGAAGAAATATTGTTTGAGACAGAGTTGATTAATACAGCGAAAAGAAGAGGAGATAAGACGCCGCCTTGCGGAACACCGGCAGTCGTATCGCTCCACGAAGAAAATTTCTCTTCGAGACGAACGCGCTGCCTGCGCCCATACAGATAACTGTGAAGCCACTCAATCACTGATGGAGATACGTTAAGGGAGCGCAGCAATGCCAGAAGAATATCAAAGTTGACTGTATTAAAAGCATTGCTGAAGTCCAACAATGTTAATACCGTAAGGAGACCGTTATCCATCCCAAGGCGAATATCATCAGTCACTTTAAGCAAAGTAGTCGTGGTACTATGCCCAGGACGGAAACCGGATTGGAAAGGATTAAAGAGATCGTGGCGAGAAAGGAATATATTAAATTGGTTATGGACAAGGCGTTCAAGGACCTTAGATAGGAAAGGAAGAATAGAGATGGGACGAAAATCGGCGACGGATTGAGGGTTTGATTTTTTAGGGAGTGGAATGATTTGGGCTTGCTTCCAAACTGACGGAAATACAGCATTACAAATCGAGCTGTTAAAAAGGAAAGTAAGGACAGGAAGGATGATTTCAAGGATAGGTATCAACATGTTGCGACTGATGCCATCATTCCCCACAGCATTGGAAGAGATAGAAAGCATGCCCTTCTTAACGTCACATTCAGTGAATTGAGTAAAGACAAAAAGAGAGTAGTCAGGAATTGGTAACGAAGAAAGATAATTTAAAGTACTGGTCTTGTTAGAATCACTGAGACTAGAAGAGGAAGAAAAGTGAAGGTTGAGTGAATCAACGTTAATACTACTAGGAATAGATTCATGTCGGGATTTACCAATTCCAAGAGACTTAAGGAAATTCCAGACTTTTGCTGGATCTTTATTGTCGACAGAGACATGGATATGGCGACGTAAGGCATCCCTACACACCAAATTGCAGTAATTGCGAGCTCTTACATAGTTGGCTTTATTTAAATCAGTTGGACGACGTTTATATTTGCATTTAGCAACGTCCTTTTTGTGCATTAGGGCTTTAATGTCTTCGGTAAGCCACGGCGCTGGAGCGTGTTTGAGTTTGATGGGACGAAAAGGAGCATGTTTGTCATAGAGTTCAGTTATTATATGATTAAAAGTCTCAACTTGGTCGTCCACAGACACCGCATTAATAACCAACGACCAATCGGTATTTTGAGCGTCAGAGAGTTTATTATACCCAAGTTTGTTAATCTATCTAGTTCAGCTTTTAACTGAGGCCTAATTTTAATGGCACTCTATATGGGGTTTTCGAAGATGGAACAGAGTTCTTTTTTAATTTTAAATCATATGGTTTTTCAATCTTACCAATGCCAGTGAATAAATCCTTGTTATTTTTTATCAACATTTCTTTTTCAAAGTCATATGTCTTTTCACATGATTCCACTCTTTTTACTAAATTTAATTTGACACAAGTGTCCCGGGATAAAATGGGCACTGACAAGTCTCCACCGACAATACAAAAAAGTTCTTAAAATTTTCCTTCATTTAAATTTGTGGTTAGTCTAATAGTACCTTCAATAGGTGTTTTATACCCATTCCAGCTCTCTAGCACAGCTGAACTTTTGTTTAACTGCAAAGGAAAAGACGAGCTTGCTGCTATTTGCTTAAAGAGTTTGATTGGAATAATATTAACATCTGATCCTGGATCAAGTTTAAAATTGATTTTTTCATTTCCTATAATGAGGTCTTGATACCATCCTACTGAATGAGTCTTCAGAGTTCTAGACAGAATTGCACCACAAAAATAATCTGGTTCAGGATCTACTTTTAGTTCATTTACAGTTTTCTTTAAGTTGCTTCGACACATTTTTGCGAAATGATTTTTACCTTGACATTTTGCACACGTCTTGTTAAAGGCTGGGCACTGACCATATTTATGCTCATATCCACATCTGAGACAAGATTGCTTTTGTCTTTTATTCTGTGTTTCTTTAAAGTTTGTAGAAACAGTTTTTACTTCAGACTTTCTGATGTCACGAATGTGATCTTCACTCAATCCTGTTATTATTAGCATTCTAACAACATCGTCCAAGTTAGGGTCGCCTTTTTTTATAAGTTGATTTTGCGAATCTGTGTCAGTTGTACCGAAAACTAGCCTGTCTCGAATAATTTTTTCTTTACAATTAGTACAAAATTCACAATCATTTGCTAACATTTTTGTCTGTAAGAAAATGTTCAAATTGTTCAGCTTCTTGCTGTTTTCTGTTATAGAATTTAAATCGACAGTGTAGAACATTTTTCTTCGGATTACAATAATCTTCAAACTTGTCAAGAACATGTTTTAAGGTTAACGTTTTATCCTCGAATTCAAAAGTATTATAAACGGCTAGAGCCTCTTCACCGATTATGTTGAGTAAAATGGCAATTTTTCTTGATTCGCCGACATTTTGTAAACCACTTGCCTCGAGATAAATTTCCAATGCTTGTGAAAATTTCCGCCAATTTACACTTAAATTCCCCGACAGGGATAGTCCTGCTGGCAAATTGTACGAACTAGCCATAATTTACCGACTGCGCCATGTGGTATTAAATAAAGAGTCAAATTAAATAACCAAACAAGAGGGTTTTATTTGTAGAAGTCCTAATATTAATACCTGTCACAATCATAGAGTATCCTAGCAAAATGTCTAATGGAAACATTCACAATAGTCATAACTTTAATAGGATGCATTCATGCCACAGTTATATTCATATTTTTCAGTATATCAAAAATTTGAACTGCAACACGGTCTTCTTTAAGTGTCCACTCCATATTTAAAAATGAGTAAAATTCTAAAAAGTGTACATTTTTATTTTCATGAACAATTCGAAATTCGAATTCAAGAAAAGAAAAGTTTTTACTGTGTGACAATACTTAAGACCTGACTGTGTATTATAACTAAGATGTTATGGTACAAATGAACTCACAACATTCAGTTTCTTGTAGGCCCCTTTGTCATGAGGGCGTCTGTATAAGGGAGAGTGTACATCGGCGAAACCATCGCTGTTGCCACGCAAATCGTACGACATCACGTGGACCGCATCCAGTTCCCTGAGGGCGGAAAGTTTGAATTAGAAAGTATTGTAGTTGAGCCAAAAAATATAATGGATTTAAGAAAAAAAACATATGAAGCTGTTTATACGGCTATATAAACCGGCAAAATTAATGGCAAAATTAACCGGCAAAAGGAATGAAAAGGAGAGACTGTTGGACATTGTATATCCATTATAGTAATATAAGTTATTTACGGGATTGGTAGGTACCCATGTACCAGGTACGGAGTAATTATAGCGCTTGCAACAGTGCCGAAATATCGGAAACTCGCTAAAAACGAGGTACATGGTAGCAATCCTGTAAAAAACATAAATTACTATAATATTAGTGATCATGAAAGTTTAAAACAATAAATTGTATATCCATGTGAAAAAAGTCATCTTATGTTATCAAATCCTAAAAATGAGTCACCCAACTGTTTTTTTTATTACCTACATTTTTTCAAGAAATCACATAGCCGAAGCCGCACAAAAGTTATTAAAATTCGAAGAATTCTTTATAAAATAATTACTGGCAAAGCTCCGGCACGTGGTATCCCTCGTTCAGTCTGGAGCTCGAAAGTGGCACGGCAGCAGTCAACTCCCAGCCTTTCCCGGCTCTGATGAAGGCCCTCCTCAGCTCTCGCACCAGGCACAGGAAGTTGTCTTTGTCGGAGGAGGAGCCACCGCGGTCGATGGCACCAGGGTACTCCCAGTCCAGGTCGAGCCCGTCGAAATCGTATTTCTTCAGGAAATCTGTTGAAAATTTATAAAGTACGTGTACCAAACATTTCTGTCCTCCTCCTTTGACGCTGCACTCCAATAATTTGTCGCAGCCAACTGAGACGAGACGGCTCAAACCACACTTCACTACCTCAATTGGAAACAGTGTTGCATTGAAAATCAGACTTTAAATGTTTGGTCACATAGTCTAGCTTTTTTGAAGCCACGATAGGTGAAAGCCCTTATATTCGACCGCGGCGGCGTCATTTTCTCAAAACACTTTTACTTAGATTAGACCAGAATGAAGTGCACCATTAGAAAACAACGAAGCGCATTATTATAAGCAGGGCCTTTATTAAAACTTGAGGGTACCTAGTTCTGTGTTCTGTGTTAGTATTATGTGAGGAGCTCGATGGCGCAGGTGGTTAGCGCGTTCGGCTTGCGATCGTGGAAGTTAAGCAACTTGCGCAATGGTCGGTCATTGGATGGGAGAGCAAATACCTACTTATTATCTTGAGCTCCTCCGTGCTTCGGAAGGCACGTTAAGGCGAGGGTCCCAGCTGCATCTGCAGTCGTTAGCACTCACCCATGCGCACTGGGCCCGCGTAGTGGGTCACAGCCAAATCGCAGTGGGGACATTATCGGCTGATGATGATGTTACATTGAGAATATACCATCATTACCATCATATAGAAATCAAATCGACTGTTTATAAAACACACTTGTTTCTTTTTAAATACACACCAATTATCCCAGTCCCAGTCCAGTAACGGATAGAATGCATATACTGTACATATATAAGTACTTTTACATAGAAAATACATATTAAACATCCATGACTGGAGTACAAATGCTCGTATTCATCACACAAATATCTGCCCCCACCGGGATTCGAACCCGGGACCTCTTGAGTCAGTGACACCATGAAACCCGGCGTATAAACTACTCGGCCACGGAGGTCGTACAGTCAAACAGTATGTAATTAATCTTGACATTATTTATACTTGGATATTATGGATATTTTGAATTTTGGGCATGTAGATTTATGAAACTCAACGATATTTTAACATTACCTTCGAATAACACTGAGTGAGTGACGTGGAAAATATAATAGACACCGAAAACAGCTAAAGGTCAAAAGTAATTTCCACATATAAAAAAGGACAATTGACTAATGCGCATAAATCGGTTGACAAACGGCCATTCGTTATTTTTAATTGGACAGTCCATTCGGAGGCATTGTCTAAATTAGTCGCAAATTTTGACCGGACCAGCGTTATTTTAAAATTCCTTACGCATAATATTACGATTCCTGTTCGTGTAACAGTCAAAGATGGAATCACAGGCCAGCGAATACTTAAAAAAATACAGATATGACATACAATATACAAGATAGAATAAACCTACATTTTTTTGTAACTTTCCCGATTTGGAATTGAAAACATTTGAATTTTGTTATTTAATCCGTTTTAAAGATTTCCTTGTAAGTGCTTCACGTTAAATTAAGTTAGGTTCGGTAACACTTTTAATTTAATTTATTGTTGTTACAGCTATCATGATACTATTTTGTAATTCCGGTCGGAACAGCGGAAATTATAACTTTGACCTCTTCGTCAACAATATAATTATATGGCACTGTACTACGGGTCGCTACCCTTAATTAAAGAAGAGAAAGTACAAGTTATTTGGAGAATTCTGCTAAACCGAAAGTAATTAGTAATTACTCTTCAGGAACTCATAAGGAACGAACTTTGTTTTAAACGTTTAATCGATTTTATTATACCAACGATAGAGATATATGACTTAAAGGAAAATATTTGGATTCTGACATGTTTTTTTAATTCGATTTTGAATATTTAATACTTCAATATATGTCAGACATTGGATTTGACCTTCTCTGAATTTTATAGCAAATATGTATAAAAATTTATTTTATTTAAATGTAAAGAAAATTTCAACATAACATTTAATATTTAGATTCTCAGACCTACAGAATATGCATATAAAATTTCAAGAAAATAGGTTGAACCAATTCGGGGAAGTTCAATTACGCACACCGTGACACAAGAATTTTATATATTAGATATTTTCAATAAACAATCTGTTAATAAAAAAATGAATCGCTGAAATACGGTATACTCGCATAATATCCGGGAAACTGCAAAAAATTAGATAATTTTGTTGTATGTGTCATAATTTGGACAAGTTTGTTTTTTTAATATTATTTTACAGCAAATCCACTACACTTCATTAGAAACATTCTAAAATCATTGAACTGTTTTAATACTGAAATCTCACCGGTTCACAATTTTTTTCCTTCGTATACTGCCCCTGTGCGGATTTTTTTAAATACGTAATTCTTGCCATATGAATCCTTTTCATTAGTTTTTATCGTCACAAACTCCAATCCCATTATTAATAAACGAAGACTACGCTTGGATTAGTTACTCCATGTTTTGTCTCTGTCTATTGAATGACAAATGACATTTGAGTGACATGAACAAAAGACGGCGTAACTATTCTAAGCTTATTCCTTGTTTATTATTAAGGAGGCCATTATCGTACAAGCATTCTAATCCAGACAAAAATTAAGACCAATATGCTTTTGTTTATATGACAAACAAGGAAGGCCAAGTTTAATAATTATAGTCGCGTCAATAAAGGTTTTTGGTATATATTTTTTCGCAATTGAGTTAGGGTAGCTACACACATAAGCGGGTCGGCATAAATTGGTAAAATCGAATAAATGTAGATGAATGTCCGGCAGGAATTACCACGGGTCGGCTTTGCTGTTCGAAAAATACTGCCGGACGAACCGACTATGTGTGTAGCTACCCTTACTGAACCGATTATTATATAAATACGAATTTTTAATTTAGGAGATACTATTCAAGAGCTCGATCGCAAGTGGTTAGCGTGTTCTGTCTACGATCGTGGATGTTAAGAAACTTTCGCAGTGGCCGGTCATCGGATGGGTGACCAAAAATGTATTATACCGAACTCCTCCGTCCTTCGGAGGGCACGTCAAGCCGTTGACCCAGTTTGCATCTGCAGTTGTTCTGTTCCCAGCAATAGGGGCATTAATAGGCTGTTGGGATGATGATGATTATGAGGTGGTTGTTTGACTTACCAACAACGCTTCTGACGAAGGCTGTTCTGGTGTTATTCTTGGAGACCATTTTGGAGTACTTGGAGCCGCCTTCGCCCCATCCGCCCACCGCGACCATGAATTTGACGTTGGGGTGGCAAGACCGCAACGCTGTGAAATTCTTGAAACCACACTTGTTGACATCCAACTGAAAAGAACATTTATGCAATTAATTTTATTTTGTAAGACCAACAGATGCTATCAGTTATTTTTGTTTGCATGATTTAACTTAAGAAGGAGATAGAAAGCCTCTGTGAGTTTGTTTCGCCGGTTCTTCTCATTAAGGTCTCGCAATTTTGGAACCGGTGGTGGTAGTTTACGGTAGTTAGGTTCAATTAAATAAATAAACTCAAAATTATGAAAAAAAGTACTTTATAAATTGAATTAACTACTAAATTCATGCATTGACAATAAAGTTTTAAAAATCTTCCAATGAAATATCCGAACACTAAATAAAAGTCTTTCGAGGGTAGCTCGACAAAGTAAATACAAAATAAATATTCTGACGATAATCTGACATCTGATCTGCTAAGGCTGCGAAACATTAATAAATAAATGAAATTAGTACATTTAACCCGTTGAAACTTGTTTTATTAAATGAGTGATATGCGTGAAAACCTAAGAAAAAAAAAACTTTAATTGTGCCGTCTTGTTTTCTTGTTTAGACGACAATAGGCCCCATTATGCCATGCTTCTCAAATCTTAAATCTAAATTTGAAAACATTTTCATTCTTAATAGAGTATGACAAGGATATACTATCATTTATTCGGATTTCTGACAAAATTAAATGTCAAATATCTAAAACTGGCTACTTTTACAGACATAGCGACATTTTGCCGTGTAATGGCGTAATGCATTTCAAATTAAAGTCTATAAAGCTATGTACTGAAATTAGAAGTGACTATTTTTTACAGAATCGCCTTAGTGTTTTCAAATTTTAAGAGAATTGTGCCAGAATCGATCCCAATGTACTTTTTTACAAGGTGCTCGGTATATTGCTATCATGATAAATTATATTGATAAATCTCTATAAATAGCTTCTACACTTTTTATGTCTAAAGCAAATCATCAGATTGTTTCCAACTACTTTATTCATAAGATATGAAGCCCAATAAAAAAATCAACTTTAATAAGAGATTGGCATAACTGAAAAAGGACGTATATTTTATCCGCAACAAAAATAGCCAATTCGGGACCACCAGCTTCGGTGCCAAATGCCGCCTCAAAAATGAATGAATTACAAAGGAGGCTTTCGGGACCGCGGTCCCGGTCCCATATGACCACCGACCCGCCATTTTCAACCTTGATCTTCATTTAATAAAAGCTCAGATTCTATACCTCTTGGTCGAGGATGAGCACCTCGCTGGTGTTCTCAGTGACGCCAATGAACGAGTAGATGATGTGGGTGCACAGGTCCACCGGAATGTCCTCGATGCCGTACCTGCCCACGCCGGGCCTGTACACAGCCCAGTTGGTGAAGTAGCATACTGTGCGCGCTTTGCTGTTCGCTGCGAAAGGAATGCGTTCAATTAGGCCCGATTTACACTACAATCAGTGTTGCCAGGTCTGATTTTTAAAAATCGGGAGGCGTTATAGAAAAAAAGCTGTAGATGTACAAAAAGACCTACAAGAAAAAAAGAAAAAACAGTAAATGCAGAGGCGTACTTTGTTTGTTTTTGTAGATTTGCTACCACTTCTGCCGCCCCTCAAAGCACGTTCTTTTTAGGCAATAACATTTATTTGTATAATAATTAAGGTTACCTACATTATTAATGGCGGAAAATGCATCTCAACACATGCAATTTAAAATAGCAAATCGTATTATAAGAAAAACAGTAGATTCATGTAGAAAAACAGTAGAACAGGAGAAATTTCAGAAAAACAAGAGTTCTCCTGTGAAATCGGGAGACCTGGCTACTCTGACTATAATAAGTACAGCATAGGTAAAATGCAATATCACTTACTATCTCATTTATTCGGAAATCTGACAATTGTTAAATATCTAATACTGGCATAGCGGCATTTTGCTAATGCATATCAAAGTAATGTCGAAAATGGCAGCTACCGAAATCGGAAGTGAGATTTTATTTTACAGAATCGAGTAGCGAGTTAACTTGCGATATCGATGAGTTAACGTTTAAGAGAGACTAGCAGTTTTCCCGCTCGAATTGGAGCGCCCGTTTGGCAAAGTAACCTCCGCCTAACAGAAGTGTTGTGTTTCTGACGGAGAGTAAGGTTTCAGGACTTCACGGGGTAGGGGGACAATACGCTTGTTTGCTATCCTTTTAACATAAATAATAAAATAAAAAAGAGTGAATAAAAGCTCTTTAAGCGCTGGCATGGCTGGAGCAGCTCGAGGGCGCAGCGGAGCTCGAAGGCGCAAGTAATTAGCGCGTTCGGCTGCGATCGTTGAAGTTAAGCAACTTTCGCAGTGGTCGGTCAAAGGATGGGTGACCAAAAATCTTCTATCTCGAGTTCCTCCGTGCTTCGGAAGGCACGTTAAGCCGTTGGGTCATGGCCCAATCTCCCTATTCCATCCATAGGGAAGGCCTGTGCCCCAGCAATGGGGATATTAATAGGCTGATTATGATGATGATGTAGCGCTGGCATTGCATTTGTGATACTTTTGGTGTTGCAGATGTCTATTGGCTACGGTGATCACTTACCATCAGGTGAGCCGTCTGCTCGCATGTCCTTTATAAAATAATACACTGGACAGCTAAGACATCGGGTCACTTGCTACCTCAGAACTCTGATTTGATTTTCTCAAAAAGTATAAAACTTGCAACTATAAAAGTTGTACCTGCAGAAAGTGCGTTTCATGATCATTAAAATAAGTCAAATTTTATTCTAAAGTATTGTGAACTTACTGTGTAATCAAGCAAAAAACACAATGCTTACGATTTGCAAATATTTGTATAAAGTTGAATCATTCATTCATCATTCCTGTTCATTTCAGGAATTTATTAAGGATAAGTAATCAATTTATTAAGTTTTTTTAAAGTGTTTTCTTTAAAAGAGTTGTTTTCCAATTGTGTTAATCGGCAGTAAAACGTACCAGAAAAACAAACGACTGGGAAAACTATGGACAAAAACTAAAGAAATGATAAGAAGTATCAGATTATCTCTATTTTATAAAAAAATAACGTTAATTTCAACTTTATACAAATATTTGCAAATTGTAAGCATTGTGTTTTTTGCTTGATTACGCAGTAAGTTCACAATACTTTAGAATAAAATTTGACTTATTTTAATGATCATGAAACGCACTTTCTGCAGGTACAACTTTTATAGTTGCAAGTTTTATACTTTTTGAGAAAATCGAATCAGAGTTCCAAGTTATTAAAACCAGTAAAACCGTTTCCCACATCCCCTTGAAAGGTCTCCCGCCACATATACTGATCTCAAATCGCCCGTAAATAAATAATTGACAGGCGATTTGAGATCGGAAAAATATTTACATTATTTTAATGTGACCTCTTTTCTTGAAATCAGAACAAGATTTTAGCGCTGGAGTTACGTGCCGCGACCTCCACGCCCTAAGAAATGTACTGCTCTTTAGTAGTTACATACTACAGTATCATCATAAAATACTTACATTCGGCGGTAGTCCCGATCGCTAGGATAGCCAACGTCGTAAGTAATATATTCATTTTGTATCTGTAACAATAAATATTAGTTTATTTTAAAATGTGCCGCTCCAAGGAAATAACGATTTGCTCTCCCCCCTCCCCCCCTAATTATATTACTATAATTAGTGAATTGAATATAAGGCAATATCGAATGCCTTGGTTCTCTTGGCCCAAGGTTCAATACGCATCTGAAGACCACCGTTGCCGAATAGAGTTCAAAGGAAGAATGAATACAGGTAATTTCGACATACTGCCTATTGTTGTATTTTAAGTTAAGATAGGTACTGTAACGCCCGTAGCATTACGGCCTCCTAGCTTGTGTAAGCCCGGCGCCTCCACCATATAAGGCTCTATCCTAAATAGGATAGGCCTGGGAGCGTAGCTAGTAGAATGTAGCAATAGGGATGATGACTAATTTTTTTTTCGTTTATCAGGTAGAGTATCAAAAAGTATTGGACACGTATTTTTTCTTTTTTCACATAATATAAACATTGCAGAGATATATTGATTTGAAAAGTCGCATGACATCATGTTTTGGTACACTTTTAAGTGAAAAATCACTCGAAAGTTACGTCACGAGCCGCTACTCCCAAACTTTGACGCGCTATAACTTTGTCATTTTTTGGTTGATTGCCCAAAGAAAAAATACGTGTCCATTATTTTTTGATCATCTAACTGACGGACTAAATAAAATTTCGTTTACTGTACCCCGACATCACCCCCATTATTATAATAACAACACTTGGGATGCTCAACTACTTTTATTTTATACTGAGAGAATAACATGGAAATGTCCTATGCACCGAATGTTTCTGTGCCTGAATTCTATCTCTGGAATGTTTGATAAGAGACAAAAGATCCTCATATTCAAATCTTGAAAATAATGACATTTACTTTTTAATATAACTGCTAGCCGTAGTCATTAAATAAGGAAAGAGTTTACACAAGCAGGGAGGCCGTTACAGTACCTAGTGATTGCCATTTTTATGAGAGACAAAAATTAAAATAAATAGCATTGTACTACCTATTTATAATGCGAATCGTATAACAAGGATCTTCGCGCATCGGGTACAATCGACGAAAAATTTATTCGGATCATTTCCAAGTTTTTACCCGGCGCGCCTACACCAGCGGGTGACAAATGAGAATGTAAAATTGTATCCGACATTTTGCAATCGACTGTACTCCCTCGCAGCCGATGTTACCGGAAGTCATGTTGTTGTTTTATTTTCAATTATTTACGTGCATGGAATGAAATTATGACACCTTGTTGGAAACATCTCCTATTTCATCTTGGTATGAATATTGATGTGAAAGCTAAATCTTATGTATAATTCTCGTGTCACAATTTTAGTCACCATACTCCTCCGAAACAGCTTGACCGATTTTTATGAAATTTCATATGCATATTCAGTAGGTCTGAGAATCGAGTACTTTCAATTTTTCATACCCCTTAGAGATAAGGGTTGTCCTCCACCTTTTTATTCTTTGGTTAAATTCGTTTTTTTGATTTTTTTTATGGTTCGGCATTAGAAAACACCTACAACCCTAAATTTTCACCCTGCTACCACCAGCCCCTATTTTTATGGCGGTACAAAGTTCGCTGAGTCAGCTTGTTTTTCATAAAAATGTTCAAAATTTCACACAAGTTGAAAACATAAGCCGAGAATGAGTTGTTAAATGTGCTAATTTCGGTATTTAAAACGCGTGTAAAAGAGCTCTAAAATTACCTTAACCTTTATCATGTGTATACATGAGTAATAAAGATTAGAATGTATTTATTTGTGTCGCCGCACATGGGCCACACGCCACAGCCACAAACGCCGCCACGAGAAGCTAGAAGCGGCTACTTTAGTAAACTTTAGTAAAAGTGGCTGAAGCGCGCGACAGCGGCCTACTAAGGCAAGGGAGAGAGGGGTAGAGCATCGTGCGAGTGACGTGTGGCGTCGTTTTGTATCGGCGCATTAAGTGGCCGGTGCGGGCCACAAGAAGCGAGAAACGAAGATTTGCAGCGTGTGGCGGCCACCGGCGTACCGTGTGTGGCAAGTCCGTATAAAATGTATGAAAGCTACAAGAAATATGCCGGTGGCGGCGTTTTGTGGTTGTGGTCGGTGGCCCGTGTGCGGCGACACTAAGAGATGTAGGTAGGGTTACCATCCGTTCGGATTAGTCCGGACATGTCTGGACTTTTAGACTATTGTTATTTGCTTTTTTCCTATTCGCAAGAAAAGATTAACAAATTACCGACCAATGAACACTTCCTATCAAACTAGTGAAATGTGAAGTCAGTTTCTAGTTTTGCTAAACATAAATATCAAGGTTGATAAACAGATTTTCTCCTTTACACCAAATAAGGTTGATTATTGGTTTGTTTTGTTTTTTGATAGAAAAAATCAAGCACTAAAATATAATAAAGTTTTAACTGCATAATAATATTCTTAAATTTAAAAAAGACAAAAAATACCAAAGCAAAATTTTTTGAAAACTCACACACACTTTTGTCAATGAAGCATCACAATAAACACTCCTCATCAAACTCAAGAAAAAAAACACTTGTTTTCTAAATTCAAAATAAAAAAAAATAACACAATATCAGAGGAAAAAAAAACTAAACATTTGACACTTCATCGAACACCATGCGTGTATAAGTGCGCAAAAAATACTTGTTAATTGTTAAAAGCCCTTTTACATTTTTTGCAAAAAATCGTAATTTTTGAGCGCCTCGTTTTGAAAAGATTTTGACTATGTTCAATAGATAGTTTAGATTTATTCTTCCTATTGTAAGTTAATGTAGAATATTTGCAAATACTCTTTTCCTTTTTTGTAGTGATCGTTCTACTGCAGCTAGTTTACGGAAAAAATGATAATATGCACAACTTCAAACGCCTCAATCTCTCAATAATGTTCAATAAAATAGATCAAATTATTTACTACGACATCAGAAATATGTTTTTGTTGTAACATAATGTATTAAAATTTTGATTTTCTATCCCATTCATTACGTAATTGAGGGTTACTTTAGCTCGGGCGGGTAACTTTGTTCCAAATCAGAAAAAAGTTTGAACTTGCCGCCACATCAGTATCTCTAGGGTGAGCGTAATAGTTCCAGTTGAAAATCACAGTTGGCCATATAGGCGCATAGTGTGGTGTTGTTTTACCGACGTCATTCCTGTATCAACCTGTCATTGTTACGCGGGAATTTTTGTAACTGAAATAGTTCGCAAGTTCGTGCGCAAACTTTCTCGTAAAACTGTGGTTTTCGGTAAGTTACTATTTTTTCTATATTTAAAGTTATTGAACATTGTTCATGGGAGTACGTTGATGATAAATTCAAAAGGTTTTACACAAATTTACTTGTTTATTTTTAAGGATATCTACGGAGGTATACTAGCCCATGTTTTTGGGTAACTTTGTCTTTTAGTCCAAAGTTACCCGTCAACCTTACATTTAGAAATAATACAATAAAACTATAGCTACTAAACTGACAAATATAGCGCATATTAGTAATCTCAAGACGCCCATAAGTACCTCAATCTACTACTTACATGTATTTTAAATTAGCTAACATCTTTTAACGCTACTTTATAATTTATTCGTACGTACTAGATTTTATAGGTTCTTGTTTTCTAAATTTCGAGAATTACACATGCATCTACTAGTTTCGTGTGTACTGAAAAAAAAAGTTGTTAAGAAAAGAATACTTTATGTTCTTACTGGCAAGTTCATCTGCGGTGCTGATCTGATAGAAGCATGGCCATCCAGTTTGCAAAATAATAAAACAAAAAACAGACGAAAAAGCAACCAAATCATACCCTATCTTCATCAACAAGCGGCAGTGATATAACAAGTGGCACTGAAGAAAAATAATTGTTATGTTATAATTTTATTATGTTACTACTAAGTTCCTGTAGTTGAGTCAATTTAATTAGTTACCAAAGTATAAATATTTTATGTAGCTTTACTTAAGAAATTCAGAATTTGTCAATATTTCGTTTCACGTTTGATTAATAAAAATCTATTCGGTTTTTTTTGTTTTTTATTATTTAACTAAATTATTTTTGGGAAAAAACATCCATTTATGTATTAAGTATGCTAATGGTGACCTGTTATAATGGTTACTTAACCCCAACATGGCTTAAAATGTATTTTTTTCGCAGAGAAAACTCAAAGAGCTAAAGTAACCCTCATCTAAGGCTAACTTTAGCCCAAAATTGAAAAAAAATATATTAACCCTTAAACATTATTTTTCCTATTTCCGTATGTTAACTTTGTAACTTATACCTTAAAGTTCACAATGGAAAGATATAAACGTGACATATTCATCATAAAGTGAAGCTACAGTTTGATTTGAAAAAAACGTACATATTTTAGATCAAAGTAACCTGCAGTTACTCGGTATCAAAAAAAAACATCTAACCTCCGTGAGTTTTCCCAAAAAATAGTACAGTTTTACCTTGTATTTTGATATTGAATTAAATAGAATTACTATCAACAACTTTCATAAAACTAATCTACCATCATTAATTTACTGAAATACGTAGATATTTTGATAATTAGTTCATTAATAATTATTTTATAAGACTCGAAAAATCACCCGTAAAATGCAATATATACTAGTGCAAATCTACCTACGCGCCGATCAGTACGGCAGCGGCGCAATTTTGTAAAAAGGCTCTTATGCTTATTTATTACTTACGTCAACGAGCGGCGTGCAAGTTTGCGTGCGATTGGTTCGGAGCGTGGCTGCATCGCGGTTTTATGCGCGCTCGCGTAGTCTCGCGCGCACATACACAGGGTGCACCAAAAACGACGCGCACTTTTCCTGTTACCGTATCGTGTTCAGCGTTGTGGGATTCGAAATGAGCGGGGTGAGATCTCTCTTTAAAAAATTACCCTATTGGATTTCGGCTGGCGTCTTGGAAATCCCGGGTAGCGGCAGTCACGACATTGTGGTAGGAGCGGCAACTCCCGTTGTGGTGGTGTGTCCGTTTGCGGGTTGTGATGCGATTTTCGTGTCACTTCGCACATGGTGCAGGGCCGGGGGCCGGTAGCAGGGCAGGGGCAGGTATATATAGATATAAAACATAATAATTAGTAAATAAACTTAATACTTATGATAGTAAAAACTTACTTAACACGTATTGACGGCGTACTGTGACGCAGAGTGGTGTCCGGTATCCGGCCTCGGAACCGCTGGAACACAACACCTTTCGACCAAAGCTCTTCTTTCATAAAGTTCGCTAGGTGTTCGGTTCGTACTCTCACCATGAATGAATTAAAATTCATATTATGGCGAGATTCCAACCGCGCGACTCTCAGGGAGAACTTCGTCTTGATCCGCAGATACTCTACGATCTCCTCTTCCTTCGTAGAGTAATGCAGTCGGGACACCTACAGCGGCGTCGTTGGTATGGCGGGATGCAGCAGATGGTTCGGTCCGGTCGGGGCAGCACCACACAGGTTGCGGCGAGCGGGCTTCCTCTTCTTCCTTTCCACCTTGGTGAAGCCTTCTTCGTCACAAGTTAGATTTTGAGATGCCGCCGGATAGCACGTTTGTGTTTGCAACTCTTCTCCGTTTGTTGTAATATTCTGTCTGGTTTCGGAGCGGCATCAGCAGGCCGAATTGCGGCTGCAGCTGCGTAGGCACGTTGCGGTGTCGAAGTGCAAGCGCGTGACGTCTCCCGTATGGCGGAGGGGCGGGCGACGGCAGCGGGACGCGGGGCATTGCGCGCGGTAAAGGTAGAATTATTTTACTGTCGTCTTCTGTAAAGTGAAGGCACTTCCATAAAAGACGGCGCTGAAATTTGAGCGGCAATATGAAATCCGCTTTTCGCTATCCCTCTTAACTTAAAGGAATGCTTAAAGATTAGTATATGATGTTTTGAAAAGACACGAAGGCCTGCAGCTATGTGTATATGTATTATATCTTTTACCGCATTTTGTATTAAAAGTTGAAAATATTTTAGGGGAAGAGGCAGTCCTCTCATTACGGCTGCTTGTTTTTTTATGATGAGAGTAAACGAATTACTCGTGATAACACCGGGAGCCACGCAGATTATGTTTGACGATAGAAACAGTTCCATGAAGTTAGTATAGCTAACTTCATGGAACTGTTTCTATCATTATGTTGAAAAAACTGGTATCGCGGATAAACTTTGGGTGCTGGTCAGGAAATGAAATCTTGTTTCGTGTAATATAATTTTTAGTTATTGAAAAAAGTACTCTTTGCGCTTTGTACTGTGTAGTTTCTATTTTTAAATTATTGTTTTTTTTTGAAAAAAAATCGAAGATACGATGTAATTGTCTATTCCACTAATATTATAAATGTGCGAGTTTGTATGTTTGTTACTCAATCTTGCAAAAACTAATACACGAATTTTGATGAAATTTGATACGTGCATATAGTTTATTATCTGGATTGAGACATAGGAACCTTTTATCCCTGAAAAATGATAGGTTCCTGTGGGATTCTCAAGAAACAAAATTTAACTGCTGCACGAAAAAAATAAAAAAAGGTTCGAGTGACCTAATTTTTTATGTGATGATCGCAGATGACCTTTACAGCATCACCGGGTTGGGAGTCGGTGAGATCCTAAAGGTACGAAAAGCTGTGAGTACCTCTAGAGGTATTCCAGGCTGATGGCATCTCCCCTCGGGGGGAGTCTCCTCTCCGCCTAAAGCACCTAGACCACTAGATCCTGACGGGAGTCGGCTCTACTAAAGGGCGTCTCTGAGACTCGGAATTCGGCTCTAGTTAGCTGTTGCAGCTAAAGAAGTCTGAGTTTAATATTGTTTAATGATCTACATTAAAATTAAGTAGATACCATAATATAAATTCACCTAAATCGGCATAAGCCTGGAAGCGAGACAAACAAATGGACAGAGGTACTTTCTCATGCATTTATAATATTAAACGGATATTGATGTAGAAATATATTTGAAGGGAAAATAAATAGAATCCTCTGACTCATACCTCACATATTATCAAACAACGTAGTTGCGGTCTCTTTGTCTCTTTATATGTGCGTTTGTTTTTTAAGGAAAAGAATAATCATATAATATATAATAAGAGGGTTAAGGTATAATATATAATAAGTGGGTTAAGGTATAATATATAATAAGAGGGTTAAGGTATAATATATAATTCTCAAAATCTCTGAGTATCGGGAAACTTCACCATGTGGGAGAGTTAAAACATCTTTAATTCAATTGTAACTGTATTCAAGTTTAGTGCAAACAAAAAGTCAATTCGTTAATTAGTCACATGCGAGAAGCAAATCACAAGAAAAGAGTTTCACTTGTGACCAATTAACAAATTGACGTTTTGTTTGCGCTAAACTCAAACATAATTTGCTCAGGTGGTTCAACTCAACTCAACTGACCCACCTGAGCAAATCTCTACAGACTATTGTGCTATGGCGGATGCTTGTTGGCAAGGGCGTCACCAGCTTATGACTAGGAGGGTGCAATGGCGCAATATAATAGGTAAGGAAGTTAATTGCTCGCACTTTGGTCGCTTTGCGACTAGCTACATTTGACCTCTCCCCCCCCCCCCCCCCCGCTTGCCGTCGCCCATGCTTGTTGGTCATCCCTTTTTACTCTACAAACATACCAGACAACTCATTCAGTCTGCCTCATTGTGTCGAGCTATTTAAAAATAATTTTTCCCGATCCTGTGTTCTTCCATCCATTGCACAACCTGAAATCCTTTAAAAGCTACACGAAAGGTTACTAAGGAGCAGCAATTAGAAATGTTGTAAAATCGGGAAAAATATTCCATTTGTGAGCTTTCGTTGCGTGCGCTGCGTAAAAATTAAAAGTTACCTCAAAATTATGTATGACAGAATTGTTCCTTAATAAAATTGGATGCATGGAAGTTGATCTCAACACATGTTTGCAAGTTTGATGTCCACTTTCAATTTGACGACACTGTATGAAATAAAACAGGGGGAAAGAAGCAGCCCTTGCTGAGTTTCTTGCCGGTTCTTCTCAGTACAAGGTCTCCCGCTGTAGTTTTGCGAACCGATGGCGTAGTTTTCGACTTTCACATGTATTGTAAAAGCCTAAACTAAATTAAATATTTTTTAGTTGAATTGAATTGAAAAGATATGTCTATCTTTTAAGGGTGACCCACTATAACCTGTTTTTCCTACATCCACGCAACCAAGTATAAATACTGCAAAATACTACTAACTTATATTCACTTTACAAGCACACTATTCACCATTTTTATTCCAATTTCATGTCCTCCCATTTCATGCAGATGGTGAATGGATCATCAGATGGGTTCTTAAAAAGAACTATGAAACTGCTCTGTACTTAATTGCATTGTACAAAGAAACTATGGATTTGAATTTAGATTTTGGGTGCGCGGAATAAATAACACTTAATACATTATTATGTTCTTCTATTGCTCCCAATCCATACTGGCATTCAATAATCACTAATTAATTGTTTCTTATATATACCCACATTATATATTTAGTATCTAAATTAATAACTTCCTGGGGATAATGTACACGTATTTTTTCTTTCGTCAATCAACCAAAAAATTACGAAGATAGAGCGCGTCAAAGTTCGGGCGTGATGTCACTTTTAAGTAAAAATTTTACCAATACGATTCCAATATTTTTTTCATAATTTACCTGACCTGATAGATGAAGAAAAAAAGTTAGACGTCATCCTTACAGTCGGTATAATATCGACAAGCAGTGGAGAAGCGAAATAGCTTTAGAAACTTTACAGAATCGTGGATTAAAGTTTTTTTTTTACAAAAAAGTCATAGTAAATGAGAAGTAGCGCCATATAAATAAAAACATTATTCATAAAATAATATTTTCTAAACATCCTCCTATTAAAAAATTACATACTGCCTTTACGAATTAGATGACGTTTAAGCGAAAATCACTCGGCATTTTTTGTCAAGCAAACATCTAATCATATGCCAAATAGTAGGGCGTAAGCGCCATTGGTTCAAAAAATCTTCAAAATTTATGTCAGCGTTTTGAGCAATAAACATCTTCAAAAAAATTATAACAGGACCCTTAGCAAGAATCAATATAAAATTCGAATAGAGTGCGAGCGCGAAATGTCACTATCGAAAATATGTATGGAAAACTTGCACAGCAGCGCCACAAAGGACGTAACGAGAACTAACAATCAGTACACATTTGACAATGATATTTCGGACTCGCAAACTATTCGAATTCGATATTGGTTCGTGCTAGGGGTACAGATCGACGCAGAAAAAAAAACTGATTAAAATGATATTTAAGAGTCATTTTCGACAAAAGTGGCGTATAAGTGAATTTGCCTTTCCTCTGTCGAACCATAATATTATTTAAAACTCTTTGGGCAACCCATTTAGGTATGTTACAATTCTAATAACAGACATTTATTTAGTAAGCCTCAACTATCAATCAATAAATAAAACTACATCCGGAACGTATAAATAATGAATTTCGAAATTTATAAACCCTTTATTAATAAACGAAGTGAGCTTGGAGTAATTACTCCATGTTTGTCTCTGTTCATTAAATGACAAATGGCACAACATGGCTTAACTATTCTAAGCTTATTCCTCATTTATTAAAAGGGGGGTATATATCTCAAGAAACCGTGCCGTGCAGATCCATCTGTATGTATGTATGTGTATGTATATATATATATCGCACGTCACAAACAATAGGGTATTATGTCGGAAAATTCGTATATTTTTTTATTTGCGTTTCGAAAACTACATTTTTTTCTCTATAAACTGGTAAGACAATTGTATTTAAATTCTAAATAGTTTTTTAATTATAGCAATACATGTCTTTCTTGACTGTTCATGAACGTCATTTTCGAGACAATCAAGCAGTGGCGG